TCTCTTATACACATCTAGATGTGTATAAGAGACAGGTACTACTGGTAGGCCGAAGGTGAAATGCTAATGTCGGCCTACCGGTCCCCCCTACTTTATGACGTCTGGGGTAGCGGTGTTGGGGAACAAAGCTCCAATCTATTCGTGGGGAGCAGCGCGTGCTGGGAACCAGGTCCAGCGTCCCATATGGAAATTTTGACATAGAAGTTTTGAAAATTTGAGATATCTGCGATACCGGGGCCATTACCTGGCTTTGGCTAAGAAAAAATTGAACTAAGCAAATTACTACGACGAACTTCAGGAATAAGCAAAGTTCAGAAAACGACTCAGAAACTCCCCATCGATCCTCTTTACCTCACTCCGGCAAGACTTACTGCAGCAGAGCCACCATCTCCGCTGCTCCCGTACCCTATTCCCGTCCTACAAGCTAGCCCCCTCACTAGTAGGACCCTTGATATCCAACCATCAACGTGTCCATGCCGAGGACCCTTTTGTTTTTAGAAGAGCATTCAGATCGAGAAATACCTGGCTTTTCAGTAAGCCACCCCTACCTGCCTCATCCCTATATCCCGATTCTTAGTCTCTACTAGGCCTCACGCCCCCAACTGCTAGGTTATAGAGTGGCACGACCCACCCCAGAAGACTCCCACCTGCCAGGCTACAGGGCAAAACGACCCGCCCGGGCTCCGACCAGCATCGTCTAAGTACCAACTTACCAAAGGACACTAGAGTGCCTTCCACCCTCGACAACACCCAGATCTCTCTACCAGGTCTCTTGCCCCCTTGCAGCTCGAGTTACAGGGCAGCGTGACCAAGCCCCAGCACCGACCTGCGTCGTGCTGGCCTCGTCCATTCGCAAGCCCACGGGGACCCAAGACTACAGCAAATACCAGACAAGCCACCAATCAGCACCGTAACTGTAGATCCGATCACTCAGCTCCTTCGGGCGCTGGTTGCAGATATCCCACATTAAATCCCTCACAACCCTACTCAGGCAAGTCTTACTGCGATGAAGCCACCATCTTCACCGCTTCTGTACCCTATTTCCACCCTGCAGGTTAGCCCCATGGCCGAAGAGCACATTATCCCCCACCATCGCAACCCCGGCCCCCTGCCACCAGCGCCAGCTTATAAAGAATTTTTTTCATCAGAAAATTCAATCCCATTCAAGAACATATTCAGAAATAAAAAAGCTATGAAAAACAGAGAGACGGAAATCAGAAATAGAGCCACCAACAATCCAACTCAGACCCTAGCTACAGGCGAGAAACCGCCGCTCAGGCTTTCAGTCCTCGTACCAGAAATCGCCAGTTCTCACTCACCCCTTGCTAGGGTTACAAGGCAACACAAACTGCCCCAGCACCAAACTAATTGTTTTCTGACGGACAGGAAGTATCTTCCTCCCTCGACTACTTCCTTAGCTGCAAACCCCCTACCGGGTTACAAGGTCACCGCCCCGACATCAGCTACGTTGAAAGAGGTAGTTATGCCTTCCACCCTTGGCATAACTCCAATGGCCTCAAGCTCCTCTTGGTCACAGAGCCACTGCTCAAGCACCGGCCAATGTCGCCCCACCTCGCCCTTCTAGTAGACTTACCACCCTGAGCAACCCTTCCTCTACTGCACGAGCCCACCCAAAATTCCTCCAAACCATACTTCCGACTTTCACCTTCCCATTTAAGAAAACCAAAAGGAAAAAGGACAAGAACTAGAACCACTAACGATCCGTCTCCTTCCCTCACCACAGATGAAGGACACGCCGCCCAAGCTTTTAATCCTCGTACCAGAAATCATCAGATCTCATACCCCCCCGGCTAGGGTTACAAGGCAACACAAGCTGCCCAGTACCGACTTAACTGTTTCTGGCGGACAGAGAGTGCCTTCCCCCTCGACAACGCCCTTAACTGCATGGCCCCTTGAAAGGTTACAGGGTCACCGCCCCGGCAACAGCTACGTCGGGCGAGATGGCTATGCCTTCCACCCTCGACATAACTTCAATGGCCTCAAGCTCCCCCTGGTCACAGAGCGAATGCTCCAGCACCGGCCAATGTCGTCCCAGCCCACCCTTCTGATAATAGACTTACCACCCTAAACCGCCGATCCCTCCTCTGAGTGAACCCCCCCACTTTCCACCTGCCTCTAATTCGACCTTCCCCCTTTCGTTTGCAAGACCGCATCCTAGCAAATTTGAACTAGAACTTCCGAAAAACTACATCAGATTTAGAATTAGATCAAAGATGGATAAATGTAGGACATCAATTCCACTTTGAGAAAATCAATCTGTAACCCTTTGTAATTCGAAATTGAGTAATCATTCATTGGGATCAGAGCAAAACTCTGATTTACGAATTTCAGATTAGGAGTCTTGGTCAGAAAGACTTTCAGTCTGATGGGTTTGTTGGTTGCATGCCTTGCCTGCCGGCTGCCATGTTTCGTGTTTCTTCTTATCCTTTTGAGTCTGCAGGAATGCAGATCCGCCGATGGTGCCACGGTCACTTCTGGCTCACTGCCAGAGCTGAGTTTTTTCAAGTCAACGCAACAACAACATGAAGGTGCTGAGGAGGAATCACGGAGGAAAAAAGAAAAACGCAGCGACGCGAGGCAAGGTGAAACTCCATCGGGAAAAAAGAAAGACAAACACAGGGATTTGACACAAGGTGAAGCTCAAGATTTCTTCAGATTTGGAAAGTTCCTGATCGGTTTTTCCTTCTTTTTTTGCGGGGAGGGGGGGCGGGGGAGGAACTACACGGGAGTCACAAAAATGAGTTATAACTTGTAAGTGCACTACGGGCCAAGATACAGTTTTGTCTCGGTTGTTTGAACTCTGGGGCCTGGACTCTCCTGTTGTGTTCTCCTCAGTGGTCCCCCAAGGCTTCTGGAAACTGTTAAGACAAAGGGGGGAGGGGGGGGGGGGGGGGGGGGGGGTTGTGGAAATGAACTTTCTCAAGTCTTTCTGCACTGTCTGTTTGCTGCGAATGCTCAACGTCTGACAACTGGAGCACTACCGTCTTCACCCGAATAGAATGCCCAGTCATTATAGCTGTATTTGGTACAGCTTTCAGCCCAGATACGGTAATAATTACGGGGCGTTCTATTCGGGTGAAGACGGCAGGGTGTAGGGAATTGTTGTAGCCAGTCTTTCATGCTTGTAGCTGGCTGCGATTATGTTGAAACTTAGTTGAAAAAGTTCTTGCGAGGATGCCCGAAGACATCACGGTTTCCTGAGGTTTCGATCTAACCAGGGTGTGATGTGGAGGGCACGGTGTATCTGAAACAACTTCAATCAAGGCTCGAGTGTGTGTGTGTGTGTGTGTGTGTGTGTGTGTGTGTGTGTGTGTGTGTTTGTGTGTGTGTGTGTGTTTTAATTTGGACCAGTTCACGATCTATGCGTGTCATCCTTGCACGCAAGGGCCATGCGAATCTTTTCTGTATCGTTCCAATTTTAACAGATGTCTTGAAGGACAAAAAGGCTCTAGGTCTATTTTGTCCCGAGATGACTTTCTTGAAAGGAACAAGGGGATTGCCGGTTGTTGACCCTGCATTTGAAGGGGAAGAGGGAGAATAGGGACTGGGGGCTGCAAGGGGGAACATCTACATCTCTGTGTTCTTTGTGGAGAAGGGTGCTGGCACTTGTGATGGGGTTTATGGCTTGTATGCAGCAATGTGAATTGCAGATGAACTGTGAATATCAATGGTGAGCATCTGCTGACATCAACTGCAACCACCACCCGTGCACATCAGGTGTGAATATTGGCTGGGGAACATAAACTTTGGTGATGAGCATTGGTGAATTGCAAGGAAAATGAGCAATAGCGAGATGACAATGTCCAGAATGCACAATCACATTGAAGGCCAGATAGTATCACAGTGTCCAGAAAGCAGAAATGCACCAATATAACACCAATGAAGAATCGTAACACTGAAAACCAATGTCAATGAGAGCTTGCTCTCGCCACCACCAACATGATGTCCAGGCCCTATCTCCCTACTTGGTGCTTGGCGCCCAGCCTACTTCCTACACAGCTACAGTCTGCCTACTAATGGATAATGCAACCGTTGACGTCAGCAGCCCACGAAGTACTTGAAGATGTTGCCCAATGCAGAACATCACCAACACCAGGTATGTGCCCTCACATCATCATCATCATCATCGTCATCATCATCCTTCTCTCTCTCCCCTGACTTACTCCCACATCTTCCCTCTGTACACCCGAAGACCACCCCTGCGCCTCACTGTAGTCCAAGCCCATCCAGCTATGGAGGCAGGGCTATGGCGCTGCCCTCAGCAGCGCCCTGCTTCCTGCACGACCTCACACGGTAGCACCTTGCCTCTCAGCGCCAGCAGCAGCCCACGAGCGTCCGCTCCAGCAGCGCTGCCGCCAGCATGCAAGTGCTGAATGCGGCTCCAGGCAGCGAGCTCCTATATGGAAAGAGCCTCCCTGTCTTCGCAGCCTGGCTGGCCAGGGCCTGGGCCCAGAAGCTTCCGGTAGGCCCCAGGATGCTGCGCCTCTGTTGCAGCGACTGGGCCTCATTCGGTTGGGCAGCCCAACAGTCTGTGTATGAGCCTGCAAATCTCGTCCAGGGCCTGCATCATTTGGGAAAGGCCTGGAAGGCCGTGGAGTGTCTCGCTGCTCGGCCTGTGTTTTCCCTCAACCAACTGGCGCGACGAAACTGCCTGGACCCCAAATACGAAATTGACAGCCGAGGGCCTCTCGTGATTTGTTAGGCCCGCCTTCACTTAGGGTGGGCACAGCTGCAACAGGGGCCCCTTAGGCCTGCCGAGGACTCAGATCCTCGCAGAATCGTAATTAGGAAAACAACTCGGGGCCATCCACAGCCAGTAGCCACATTGGACTGGACTCCCTCTCCATGTCTCTCTCTCTCTCACATGCACACATGGCATGTCCTATTTGCAGGCAGGACTGCAATGGAAGCGTCTATACAACTGGGGGCGCTGTAGGTCTGTGTCACTAGCATGTGGGAGCCATGTTGTATCTGCGACATCTGCCTGCGCTAGCCCATTTGACACACTGACTCAACTGCAAGAGTCCGGTGTGGTCCTGTCGCAGGCGGCACCCAAACTGGTCCTGTCCGGTCTGCGAAGTAGGTGGCCTGTTACCATTGTTACGAATCTCAAGAATCTCAAGAATCTCAAGTTCTTCCATCCATCATCTCACGTGCGCTTGATTGAGATGAGATCATACAATTGCAACCCCACAGAAAACCGGCATCGAACCCAGGCTACAGTCCGGGCTACAATAGCTTTCTTGGCCTTTTGGCTAAGATCAAGTGCAGTATCTGTTCTGATCATTTTAATAATAACTACCATAGTCCGTGGTTCACCGGGGGGGGGGGGAACAAACAAACAAACATTCTGGGCCGCGCGGGGCCCAACTGACCGACTGCCCAGGGGGCGTCACAGGAGGCCCATCCCGGTACCCCGCCCCGGGCAGCTCACGGGGGCGGCTTGAGCACTTCTTTTTCTTTTTTTATCAAACCAACTTCAATTCAGATTAAGAACAGTCAACGAGGCCGGGGAGCAGCACATTTTCACGCAGGGCCAGAAAAAGGTTTGGGGGAGGGGTTTTAGGCTTTTAAGCTTTAGCCCTTCCCCGTGTCCAGGAAGGGCCCAAAATAATTTGGACCTTACCGGGCACCTGTAGGCCCAAAAGTTTACCGCCCAAGTTGGGCTGCAAGAAATCCTGCCTTTGGGATTTTGAACCCAGTCCCCCCTACACGTGCAGCACCCGATCCTCCCTTCTCTTCCCTCCTGGCCAACCCAACTGCTGGGACACAGGTTTTCAAAAATATTACCTGATTCTGAATCCTCTCCGACAAGTGGAGTACGGCCCCCAGATCCAAAAAAATTCAGGGCATTTCTTGGCCCGTCTGCCGTCCCGGGCCTGCCCAGCAGGCCTACTTTGTAGCCCAGAATCGGATAATCACGCCCAAAATAGTTGGTGAAACCAAAAAAGTGTGATGTAGAATCGAGTGCCCTGCCACCCCATGCAGCATGCAGCAATTGGCTCAAGAAAAGGTCTCGTGAACAGCAAGTCCTCACTGGCTATGGCTGCACTCTCTCTCCCCTCAAGCAGAGCTGAAAGTAGCGCACCTGTAGTCTCACCAAGCAGCAAAAATGTTACACAATGAATTCATAATGAGTTTTTTGCGTCAACTTGTCACTTTTGAGGAGCTGCTACTTGCCTGGGCCTACAGTGTCTTCCTATTAAAAGAAGAGAGCCTAAAACGAACAAGCCTTGGCCTAAAACGAACAAGCCGGGGCCTAAAACGAACAAGCCATAAGGGTCCTACCACTATGCTAGGCAACAGAGACACACAGGTCCCAGGTTCAGAACAATAAAGAAAAGAAAACAACTGTACCATCTGTACGTGCCTTTTGTTTGGTTCCAGGTTCAAATCCTGGAGAGAACAGAAACAACGGACCCTTCACATACAGCAAAATTGAGCAAATAGTTGGGCAGATTGGGGGTTCAAAACCCGCAATCCCAACACATAGGCAATGCCGGATCCTCTGCACGTTTTGCTCATCAACCCGATTCCTGACTGCCCTCTTGCACACCAGTCTCTAGAATTCTGCTCTGCTGGATTGGCATACTGGGTAGCCACACGGGCCTACAGGGCCCGTCCCGGACATTCAGCCTAAAAGCCTAAAACTTAGGGCTTACAGGCCCCGTTCATTTCAGCCTGGATGCGGTGTGGCATACTGCGTAGCCACACGGGCCTACAGGGCCCGTCCCGGACATTCAGCCTAAAAGCCTAAAACTTAGGGCTTACAGGCCCCGTTCATTTCAGCCTGGATGCTGAAAAACGAGGGCCTGCAGGCCCTACCTCGTTTCAGCCTATTTCTGGGTCTTTTCAGACCCAGAGTTTTCAGCCTGAAACGGAGGGCCATTTTCAGGCCCTCATTGTTTCGACCTGCCCCTAAGACTCAGGCACGGAAACAG